AAAATTAGTGGCTCCAGTTTGATATATCTGATTAGTATAGATTTATTTACACTCACTTTAAATCTTCTCATTACTTTCAATCATAACCAACCCAACTAGCAAAACCATGCTTTCTATTCTCAGGAGACCATTTTAATAGATTAGTGAAGGCTGCAGCTATGATAATAGGGTGGCATGGCAACACCGCAGATCCTAGCTTGACACAGGACTTCCTCATCCACAGACTAGTCTTCCTGGACTAACACAGCATTCTTTTTCCTCATAAGCTCTTTCTTTTCTTTATTTTCTGAAAGATAACATATTTATTAACTTTTTTTTTTTGATGAGGAAGATTGGCCCCGAGTTAACATCTGTTGCCAATCTTCCTCTCTTTGCTTGAAGAATATTGCCCCTGAGCTAACATCTGTGCCAATCTTCCTCTATTTTGCATGTGGGACGCCGTCCCAGCATGGCTTGGTGAGCAGTGTGTAGGCCCACGCCCAGGAGCCCAACCTGTGAACCCTGGGCCGCCAAAGCGGAGTGCACAAACTTAACCACTACGCCACTGGGCCAGCCCCTAATTAACACTTCTTTAATCTTTTCTCTTACATTTTCTGGCTGTACACTCTTTAATTATCTTTTTACATGACAATAATTTTGTATTTTCTTGACATTAAAAAAATTATGTATGTTTTGGGGCCGGCCCGGTGGCACAAGCAAGTTAAGTGCGCGCGCTCAGCTGCGGCGGCCCAGTGTTCGCTGGTTCGGATGCCAGGCGCGCACCGACGCACCGCTTGTTAAGCTATGCTGTGGCAGCGCCCCATATAAAGTAGAAGAAGATGGGCACAATGTTAGCCCAGGGCCAGTCTGCCTCAGCAAAAAAGAGGAGGATTGGCATCAGATGTTAGCTCAGTGCTGGTCTTCCTCACACACACACAAAAAATTATGTATGTTTTGTCTCCTCTTTGCTCTCAAGTGAACTTTATCAGATAGTAATCAAGCCACTCTCACTTTCTATTGATTAGTGTTTGAATCATACACCTTTTCCAGCCTTTTACCTTTATTTTTAACAGCTTTATTGAGATATAATTCACATCAACACACAACTCACCTATGAGGTATACAATTCAGTGATTATCTGAAGATTCACAGATATCTGTAACTGTCACAGCACAGCCAATTTTATTTTATTTTATTTTATTTTATTTTTGTGAGGAAGACCAGCCCTGAGCTAATAACATCCACGCTAATCCTCCTCTTTTTGCTGAGGAAGACCGGCCCTGAGCTAACATCTATTGCCAATCCTCCTCCGTTTTTTTTTTCCCCCAAAGCCCCAGTAGATAGTTGTATGTCATAGTTGCACATCCTTCCAGCTGCTGTACGTGGGACGCGGCCCCAGCATGGCCGGAGAAGCGGTGCGTCAGTGCGCGCCCGGGATCCGAACCCGGGCCGCCAGTAGCGGAGTGCGCGCACTTAACCGCTAAGCCACGGGGCCGGCCCATCACAGCCAATTTTAGAACATTTTCACCATCTCAAAAAGAAATCCCATAACCTTTAACTATCACCCTCCTGCCCTCCATCTCTGCTCCAGTCCTGGGCAACTGCTAATCTACTTTCTGTGTCTAACACATTTCCCTATTCTGGACATTTCAGATGAACAGAATCATCTAACACGTGGTCTTTTGTGACTGGCTTCCACTTAGCATAGTGTTTTAAAGGTTCATTCATGTGGCAGCATGTATCAGTACTTAATTCCTTTTTATTGGCAAGTAACAGTCCATGGTATGAAAAAGCCACATTCTGTTTATCCGTTCAACAGCTGATGGACATCTGGGTTATTTCCACTCTTTTGTATTACGAATAATGCTATAAACATTTGTTTTAAGTTTTTGTATGGACATGTGTTTTCATTTCCCTTGGGAATATATCTAGAAGTGGAACTGCTGGGTCATATGATAACTCTATATTTAATTGTTTGAGGTAATGTCAGACTGTTTTCCACATTGTCTGCACCATTTCACAATCCCAGCAGGTATGAGGGTTCCAATTTCTCCACATCCTCACCAACAATTATCATCTGACTTTTTGATTCTATCCATCCTAGCGGGTGTAAAGTAGTATCTCATGTGATTTTGATTTGCATTTTTCTAGCGATTAATGACATCGAGCATCTTTTCATGTGCTTATTAGCCATTTGTATACCTTCCTTAGAGAAATGCCTATTCAGATCTTTTGCCATTTTTAAATTGGATTATTCGCTTTATTGTTAACAGTTCTTTATATGTGCTGGATACTACACCCTTATCAGATCTATGACTTGCTAACATCTTCTCCCATTCCGGGGGCTGTATTTTCACTTTCTTGATCGTGTTCTTTGAGTTCAACAGCATTAACTTTGGTGAAGAACAGTTCATCTCCTTTTTCTTTTGCTGCTGTGCTTTTGGTATCACATTGAAAAAACCACTGCCAGATCCGAAGTCACGCAGCTTTAAATCTAGATTTTCTTCTAAGAGCTTTATAGTCTCAGCTCTTACATCTAGGCCTTTTATCCATTTCGAGTTAATTTTTGTGTATGGTGGAAGAAAAAAATTTTTTTTTTTTTTTTTTTTAATATGTCTCTGCCTGAGTGACATTTTTTTTTTTAATTTTATTTATTTATTTATTTTCCCCCCCAAAGCCCCAGCAGATAGTTGTATGTCATAGCTGCACATCCTTCTAGTTGCTGTATGTGGGACGCGGCCTCAGCATGGCCGGAGAAGAGGTGCGTTGGTATGCGCCTGGGATCCGAACCCGGGCCGCCAGCAGCAGAGTGCGTGCACTTAACCGCTAAGCCACGGGGCTGGCCCAAGCCTATTAATTCTTTACATTGTTCTCGGTTAGTGACAATTTATCCCAATTAAGGACAAGAAAATGAAAAGAGGAAGTAAAAGGCCCTAAGTTTCTAAAATGAGTCATGAACCAGGAGGAAATTACTTTTAAATGCCTGTCTTTTAGGATCTTTTTTTTTTTTTTTTTGTGAGGAAGACTGTCCCTGAGCTAACATCTGAGCCGATCTCCCCCCACTTTGCACGTGGGATGTCGACGCAGCATGGCTTAATGAGTGGTGCATAGGTCTGCACCCAGGATCCGAACCTGTGAACCCTGGGCCGTTAAAGCAGAGGGCACAAACTTAACCACTACCCCACTGGGCCGGCCCCCACAGGCTAGGCTAACTTTTTTTATTTTTTTTTGTGAGGAAGATCAGCCCTG